AGTCAATGTTTACTGACAGTTACTTATATCTTGTCTTTTCACTTTATTGAGATCAGATTCTGCAGGTAAAATTACAATAATAAGGTGAGTTGACTTGGACTTGACCTATTACAGGACTTGACTTGACATAACCTGCGACTTGACTTGACTTGACTTGCCCAAGAAAAAATGACTTGGGACTTACTTGAGACTTAAAGGTTAAGACTTGAGACTTACTTGAGACTTGCACATGTGTGACTTGGTCCCATCTCTGCTGTCTGTACATGTAACATAAATGACTAAACACAGAACTAGACATAACGGTGAGTGGTGACATCAACATAGCATGTAAACAACATAAACACACACAAAAAAATACAACAGAGAGGTAGATTTTTAACTCCTCTGTAGGGTAACGCAGGCGGTTTCCTTTTTACAGAGGAGCAATGTTTGGAGTGAGGCTTGTGGTTGGATAATCAGGGTTGTTACAGTTAGATGTATGGGTCTCTTGCGATTTGTTCAAAAGAGCCATGGCGTGATTTTGGAGTTGTGAAATAATTGTCTGTCGATATAGAATTTGTCCACTCTGATTGATGCGTGTGTGTTGTTTTGTCTGTTTTCTTTGTGAATGGGGTACAGTACTTTCCGGCGTTCGTTTATTTCATGTGGATATTGTTCGTTGAGTCCAAATGATGTTCCTTTGAGTTCCCTTTCTCTGCTTCTGACCAGTTCTTTTTGTTTGAAGTGTTCAAATTTTGCGATGATGGGCCGGGGTCCTTTGCTTGATGGTTTACCGAGGCAGTGTACTCTGTGGAATGTAATGTTTTGTAGAGTGTCGGGGGGATTTTCAGTTGAGTTGAGTTTTTTATGAGGTTTTCTGGGTTGTCTGGTGTTTGTTCGGAGATGCCAGAGAAGATGAGATTGTCGCACATGGAACGGGTTTGTAAATCCAACATAGTTTCTTTCAGCATCTTGTTTTCTTTGGAGATGGCATGTATTTGTTTGTCAAGGGTTTTAACAGTAGTTTGTAAGTCCTGGTTGGATTTTTGTAGTGTGACGATGTTGTGGTGGGCAAAATCCAGGCTATTGTGTATGTCTTTAATCTCTTTGATTCTTTAGTTTTTTGGTGCTGGGTTTGGCTGAGTCTGGATCCATGTTGATCTGTCGGTTGTAGTAGTAGTAGTAGTAGTCGATGAATGCTTCAAGTTCCGTTATGTCCTCCACTGTAGAGATGTATTGGTCCGGGTTGGTGGTGACAGATGAACGGTGAATGTAGTTTGATTCAGGAAGTGTTTCAATCTTTTGTATATCCTTTTAAGTTTATGTGTTTGCTCTGTTCATTCAGTAACAGGGCGCCGCCAAGTTGGATCTCGTTGATTCTCGCCTCTGATGTCCGACTCTCACGGTGCTTGCACTCACACTGCCATCTCCTCTCCCACTCACACTAGCCCGCCTACTTCTTCTTCTTTACAATCTAAGTGGCTACAGCAGAGAAGTAGGGGGCCCAGGCTAACCCAGGTTCATTTCTATGCACAGAAGCCCCAAGTAGTAACCTGGGGCTACCAGAATGACTGACAACTGCCCCTAACCCTCTCCAACAGAGGAGGGATGAGACAGAGATGTGGAAAGATGTAAAGCAGCTTATTTGGCCATGGCACATGTACAAATCCGTCCACCCTCAGGGGTGGGTCATCTTGTTATGCCAGGGAAAACCATAGCGGGCAGTGTGTTGACTGGTGAGCAGGTCCACTTCCGCTTTTCTGAACTGAATCCAGATTTGCTCACCAACTTGGGGTTGTCAGAGACAACAACACTCTGAGATCCACAACTACAGGTTCTGCACTATCCTCAACAGGGCAGCAGGTGCAGGATGCTAGGGATTAGCCAATTCTGTTGTACTCATAAGGCTAAGCCCTGGATGTCCAAACACAAGAATTGTCTGTGTTCCAGGTCCACCTAGACCTAAGAGTGTGCCTCTTTTAAATTCATTTAGTTAACCAATTGGCCGGCTTGACCAGCTCCAGGAACTGCTCTCTGTATAGTATTCAGAATGTCTTGCAAGCAATGCATCAGTTAAGGATGTGGAGATTCAAAATGGGTCTGAGGGTCTGAGGGTTCTTGGGAACCAGGAATTACATGGAGTAAAACACCTTCTGTCTAACATAAGTTGGAACAACAGACATGGCCTGTTTCCATAACAGGTCCTGGATATCTGCTGAGAGGTAAGCTATCTCATCTTGGGACAATAGATCCACCTCTCTGATGCCCATGGACATGGGTTAGAGCTTAGATTCTCTGCCCAAGCCCGAGCCCAGCCCGACCCGGCCCGCAAGCCCAAGCCGTGTCGGGCCGGGAGCCCCCCTCCCTCTGACGGGCCCAGGCCCGGCCGGTCAGATATGACATTTTTTTTTGTTTTTTTTTTTAAAGCTATGATTTGATAATGTTATAGGCTATGTATTGTAGCGACCCTGCAGTAAATGTTCTGTTATAATGTCAATGTTCTGTGAGTTAATGGCATATTTGGGATTGAATGAGGTGCGGGGTGCGAGTGTGACAGGGATGAGGAGGGCTGTGTGAGTGCGCATGCTGGTGTGTGTATGAGCGAGCTGGAGGAGAGAGCAGGAGTGCACAGATGGAGTTACAGCTAAGTTGTTGTTTGTTGGTTGTTTTGGCGTGGTTACGGCCAACAGTAACCTGTACTGTTCAGTAATAAACAGTGGTTTAATTGCCGAATAACTGCGTCATCCTTTCCACACGTCCAATGTTGCAACACTGTGCGTGCACAGTCCTTCACCACCTGGATCCTAAAATAAAGACCTGTTTTATTACATAATCATGCTTCCGTGTTGCACCATTCATTAAGATCCTATATTTCTGTCATTCAGATAACAAGAATTGTGGTTTAATACTCTTAATTATAACAGCCAACTTACTGAAAAAATGTCAGGTTTAAATCGGGCTCGGGCCCATAATTACAGCCAATTGGACGGGCCGGGCCGGTCCCGGACATAACGTGCACGGGCTCGGGCCGGGTCGGGCTGGAGTTTTTGGGCCTGATCTAAGCTCTAACAGGGATGGAACGTGGAAGAACTAAAACGTTAGCCCAATTTCAATGTCTTGTCCATCCATTTTGTCAACGCGCAGTTAAGTTGCCACTCTCCATAAGAGAAGTGGAGAAGTCCAGAAGATGAGCCACCAGCTGTGGGGCTATCCTGTCCCAACCTTCTCACTAGAACCTCCATAAATGGAAGGCTGGCCCATGGGGGGCTGACATGGAAAGGGCTGAGCCAGTGGTTATATCCCTGAAAGCATCACTGCCACACATCATGGAAAGGTCCAAGCAGTTGGTGAGGTCCCCGAATGCATCACCACCAGCGTTCCCATACACGAGGCAGCAGCTGATATTGTGTCACTGTGTTCAGTCCCTCTCATTTCCCATGGAGCTCAGTGAGGGAGAAATAGACGTGTATTCTTTTTATTTGATAATCAGAGCAGCCATATCGGGTGATGTGTGTCTTATGACGGCATATACTTAGAGTTCAGTGCTCATGACTGGACACAGCACATTAAATTCTTCTCATCTTCTCCTCTCATCTCTGGTGAGGGGAAAAAAGGCACGTATGTGGGCTAGCTGTGGGGCAACAGCTAAAAAGCTGTGATATATTGTCTTGACCATCTCCGCTGTTACATCTTCCATAAATGGAAGGCTGCCAATGGGAGGCTGACACTGAAAGTTTTGAACCAGTGGTGAGGTCTGTTAATGCAACACTGCTTGCAGACCAGCAGCTAACGGCGTCTCACTTTGTTTAATCCTCTTGTCTCCCATGGAGATCAGGAGGGAGACTTAAAAACATGTGTAATTGTTTTGTGTTAATCAGAGCTGCTATATATTGGGTGACATGAGTCGTCTGGCATCAAAGGGTTCATGAATGAACATAGTGCATTCCACAGAGGTCAGGGGGAGAGATAGACATGAATGCCCGGGGAACATTGTGTATGTATTTTGATATGGTGGCCACAACAAAGGTTAGATATTTCAACCAAAGCAGCCATACTGGATGTGGCACAAAGCAGCCATGAAACCTCATTTGAAAACAGTCTTACGTACCTTATCAGGGAGTGAGTGGCAGGTGGCAACTGCCATCTTTCCTCTTCTAGTTGCTGAAATAAGATTGATCTGAAAGCCTTTCCATGATGGCAGTGGCTCCCAAATATCAGGGGAACTTGAGTCTCAACCACCCATGATGGGAGCCTATTGTTGCAAGACCTCACATAGCCTGCTGCAGCAACGTCTTGAATCAGATTATTAATTTGGCTGATGCTTGGGTCCAAAATGTCATTCTGAGATGGTGAGGGGGGCATTAAGCTGAGAGGGAACCAGCAAACACACACACCTATTTTGTTTGCAGCTATAGCTAGCTGCCCTTCCAGCTGAAATATCAAAATATTCCAGTGTCTCTCTGTCACTGTTGCTGAAGTTCCCTGCTCAACCCATCATGGCCCGCAGTGAAGTGTTAGCAGTTGGAGCAGGGTTCTTGACAACATGAATCTCAAGCTCATGCTCACTCTCATGGCAGCAAAGCACCAAATCAAAGTTTTTGAAGTGATCCCACCATTGTTGGCGTCTAAACTTGAGTAGTCCCGGCAGGTCTAGCAGGTTGGTGGCTGCTGAACATCGCTTTCTGCATGGTCTGCCCCAAGGCACTGATGAGGCGAAGTGGTAACTTCGTTTGTGGTAAAGGCTCATCAGTGGGCAATCACAATTGCTGAAATGTTAAAGGATGCTCATGCATATTGTGTCCAAGAATACATGATAAATGATACTGTCTGACAGATCCACCAGAGCTACAGCAAATGCACACATCGGACTGACTATGATAAGATCAATTTGGTCTGATTTGGTATAATCGTTCTCTCATTTGTGTGCAGTCACACGAGGGTATCATGTACAATTTGCATATTAAAGTGTTTTTAAGTTCAAATGTCTGCGAGACTAACTGCTCCCTCTGTTTATTTTCCAGGGCAGCCATTAATGCCTTTGCTGCTCTGCTGTGCACAAGTAAGTTTTCTCATAACATTTATCATTCAACAGCTGATGGTTTCCATCATACTGGGTGTACATCATAATCATCATCATCAGCATCATCATCATCATCACTATCATTATCATCATGATAATGATAATCATCATCACTACACAACACTACTCAAACCCTTTCTCCAGTAGGGACACGGGCAATGCCTGTGTTTCAGAGATAATTTTCTTGTTGGATGTGAAAGTCACAAGCATTCCAAACCTATGTTCTTCAACATGTGAACATACTCTTGGTGTGAATGCTACTGTGATCCAAATCTTTATTGTGTGGATGTTGATTCAGCATTCACACTAATGAGATTCAAAGCTTTATTATTCTCTCTATTCATCTTCCATATGTTTTTCGGTTCAGTAGTACTTACTGCATATTTTCAGTGACAGAAACCATTCAAATACCAAAATGTTCAGCTTTTTCAGGAAATTCTGTCCATATCTTTTCTTCTTTCTACTATTTATATCTATCAAGTCTTGAGCAAAAACCCAAAATTAAAAATTTTTAATTTTATGCAGATAAAAACATGTCTACATTTTAAGCAAAGTCTCGAGATGCTGATAGTAAAGAGATCATAGCAATATAACTTACAGATTTTGACTTTTATGTCTTTCTCAATTAGTATTTCTCAGTCTCTACTGCCCCGGATACAGACATACAGCTGATTGGCTGATGAGATCTCCATAACTTTCTGTCTGTTTCTTACTGGTGCATCTATCCATCTGTCTGTCCGTCTGTCTCTCTCTCTCTGCCTCTATCTGTCTTTCTGTGTCATTGTTCCTCTCTCTCTGTGTCTTTCTGTCTGTCTGTCTCTGTGTCTCTGTCTGTTTTCTGTTGTGATTTATAGAGGTCCAAGCCCTAAGGGCTGAAACCCTATTGTTCAGAATTTTTTTTTTTTTGCAAATTCCTGTGAGATGATACATCACAGACACAAATTTTCACAACAGAAGTTGTGTGCAAATGCTGCTCAAGAAACCTGAAACCGTTCAGCGAGATGGGGGCGCAATAATGAAGGCCCAATAATGTGTTGAAAGGCCACACCCCTCACACTGTAGGTAAGATTGACTTGAAATTTGACACAAGTGCAGCTCAACATGCTCTATGAAAAGCACACAAGAACCATCATAATTCCACTGGTACAATTTTCCGCCATTTTGATTTTTTTCAAAACCACATCTTTGACACATCCTCCAAAATCCTAGATTCAATATGTACCAAATTTCTTTGAATCATCACTGGACCAACCTTATCAAAAGTTATCAAAGCTTGTTGATATCTTACTGCATTTTGAAGGTATTGATCAATCAATTAACTTTATTAGAGGCGTGGCTCAGCACATAAATAGACGTAACTCTACAACCAAACAGCCAATCATCACAAAACTTGCAGGAAATGTCTATAGAGGCAGTAATATATCTTGAAAGTTTCATTCAAATCAACCACTAAAGGGTGCCAAAAATGTAATATAATGGATGTGACACACCACAATCATACTGTAAATAAAAAAGTTTCAATATTTGAAAGGTAACGCCCCTTACATTGGGTTTGACTTGAAATTTGACACACATGTTCAGCCACATGTGCTCTATGAAAAAGCTTAAGAACCATCAAGGTCTGTCTACTAGATTTTCCACCATTTTGAATTTTTTGAAAAACACATTTCTGACAACTAAATTGTAGGTCCAATTTGTATCACATTTAGTCCAGGGGCCAATGGGCTAATTTTCACAAATTGGTATCACTTAAAGGGACCAAACAATTTTGGTATTTTTGACTTCCTCTGTGTCTCTAGTTTACATTTTGGTATGATAGACCTGCCTATCTAGTAGCTTAATAAAAAAATTTGGATGATCTTTGGGTCCTTCCCAAAATTGAAAATAGTCAAAATTGAGGCTTCTCCAAAAGGGACGGTGTCTGCCTTAGCACATGAATCTCGGAAAAATAATTATCAGAATGTCACCAAATTTGGACTGAATGTTCACAGACAGTCGCTGCACACAATGCAGCAAAGATTTCATCAGTACCTTAAAAAGTGTATACACCTAAACACACATGAATTATGGGCGGACATGGAATAAGGAATAACAAAACCAAAAGGCATGTATATATGTGTTTGCCATTATTAATGTAAATAAGCCAATCACCCCAAAATTGCATTTATATGTGCCAAAGAATGTCATCTTATCATAAAAGTAGGTTATTAGATTATTCACCAGACCATCTGATGTCACCAGCCCCTGACAGGTAACTGGTGCAGCCAGAACTTCAAACAGACAAATAGAATGGGGCCCTATTAGTACAGGGGCTAAAGGGATCATTTTCACAACTTGGTAGGCCCCTCTCACCCACGGGGACCAAACAATTTTGGCATTTTTATCTCTCTACAAGTCTCTAGTTTATATTTTGGTATGATAGCCCTGCCTATCTAGTAGCTTAATTATAGTTATCACTCTGTAAACAAACTTACACCCGTGTAGGCAAAACAAAAAGGGTGAAAAATTAACTAATAGATATCCCCATGTAACTGGCCCAGTTGATCACTCATATTAAGACAAGTGTTTTTTGTATTACAAATTTTCTATATTTTATTTAAATATGCACCAGTTTTGTTAATGAAGACAATCACAAGGAGGGGAAATTGATTACGCAGTTACTGTGCTAACACTCAGTGTTACTGTAGCCTACAGTAGGCCTACTAGCACTCAGAGCTGCCCAGTTGCTATTTGACCCTTAACCAGGAGGCAAAGGGAGTGCTGCCGCTTGCCTAAGGTGGACTCCCAGGCTAGCAGAGGGAAGGAGGTGCCTTATTTCTCCATTGTAGGCCGTCCTAAAATAGGGGGGCCACCTGCTGCCCTCATCCTAACTAACACTATGATAGAGCTACTATACTGAAATTGAATGTCAGCGGAGAGCATGGAGATACAGCAATGGCAGACTTCGAATCAGGTGGAGAAGAGACAGGAGCTGTGGCTGGTGAGTCCTTAAAACAGAGGGAGAGATAATGTCAACGCTAGGAACACAAATTAGAATTTAGACCATCTAGAGCCGTTATATAGTATAGCATTTACTCTGTCACATCATTCATCGTCCACATCACTATCATTCAGCTCCGGAATACATTCCAGCTCATTTGCCTGGTTGCTGCAGGTTTGTAGTTCACACATATCTGTGCAATGTAGACCACTTTGCAGGCATGGCCATTCTGAAAGTTTACATGTTCGTGAACAGGAGCATGATAGTAGGTCCAAAACAGCCTCTGGTGCAGGCGTACCTCACATCCACTCAATGGCCAGATCCCCATCATGGATCTTCCATCCATGATCCTTTGGATTTGGTACACTTGAATTGCACTCCAGACTCCTCCGCCAGATAGCAGCCTGATAGTTTGCTCATCAAATCAAATCAAATCAACTTTATTTATATGGCACTTTTCATACTACAGTAACACAAAGTGCCTCACAAAGGTTAAAAACAACAAAGATCCAAAACAGAAAACAAAAAGAAAAGAGAAAGCCCAACCCTCCCACCCCACATAGAGATACATAAATATACAGTACAGGCCAAAAGTTTGGACACACCTTCTCATTCAATGCGTTTTCTTTATTTTCATGACTATTTACATTGTAGATTCTCACTGAAGGCATCAAAACTATGAATGAACACGTGGAGTTATGTACTTAACAAAAAAAGGTGAAATAACTGAAAACATGTTTTATATTCTAGTTTCTTCAAAATAGCCACCCTTTGCTCTGATTACTGCTTTGCACACTCTTGGCATTCTCTCCATGAGCTTCAAGAGGTAGTCAC